GGAAAATGCCAGCGAAGGAACGCATACAAACAAGAGTAGTCGCAGCAGTGAAGGTAGGAGAATACTGGACTTTCGGCATCAACTTTCGGTTTGCCCCGCCACACACTTGAAGAAGTTCAGGCTAGAGCCCTGCACGGGCCTCAAATATATGACGTTTCAGGCCCTAGCCCGACAGCTTATCAGAATTACCGGCCCGAGCCCATCTTTTTTCGTAGCGGCCAGCGGCAGACAGTGAGCTGATCATAGCTCAGTTTAGCCTTCTCAAATCATCATGACTTGCCTAAAATAAAATCTATAGATATAAAACAGTTCAAGTATATAACAATGTTTTAATGTTAAACCTAGATAAATGTGCGCTATATCCAACAGTTTGTGTGGAGAGTGGAAGCTAAAGCGCGCTTTGCAGGACATGGAGGCGCCAGCGCGATCACTTGCATTTTTTCTTAATAAAAGTGAAAACAACTTAAAATACGCCGTCATTTTTGCTCATAAAGATAACGTTGTGCTTTTATAAAATAAAGAAAACAAACATGATGCGCTTTCTGACGTCTCGTCTTGAACAGGAGCGCTTACAAAAATGAACTGAAACTCAGCGAATACATGCCTCACAGACATGATAAATATATCTATAGAAAGCTTTAAATTACTACTTAACAAAATAAAACAAAAACAAAAGCTATTTCATTATAATCATAATCTGTAAAAATTCACCTCTCTCTAAATAACTAATAACAATATAAAATGTGCAAAGGTGTGATGAGCTGCTAGGTTAAGGAATATCAAATCACTTTGTCTGTTCACTCAAACTGATTTGCGGAAATCAAAACATGGCAATAATAGGTGGGTGCTAGCCAATGAGATTGCTACTTGCTCATTATTCCTGCCCACTATCGAAGGAACCGACAGTGGTTTGTGCTTGTTCTTAAAGGCTGAATAATTGCAAATGATCTCAGTCATTTTGACAGGAATAAGAACAACAAAGAATGCTTTACGTGTGTTGTTTTTTGTGGTAAGTGACGATGAGTCGGCTACCTACACACTAGAGATTATGGCGCTTCAGAATACACTGCACATCCATTTATATCAATTGGAATAGTGCGCTAACTGTGCTTTTACAGGTGTAGTTGGTCTGTTTGCATTTAAGTTTTACCTGAATGGACACTGTATCTCATTGCTTTTTGTATACCCAAAATGCAAATGTCTACTACACTAATTCATTCTTCTGTAAAAGATAATAAATTGAGTATTGAAATATGTTAATAGTCTCTGACATGTTGTTTTGTTCACAGGTTAACGGTACTGAGGCTGACTTTGAGTATGAGGAGATTACACTGGAAAGGGTGAGTAGAATGACTAGTGCTGCTGTTCTATCTGAATCTTTTTAGTATTTTGTCACAGATCTCTGTTATTTCCCCTCTGAACAGCTTGTGTATAACACTGACCCATTGCTAAAATGCAAGCAGCTACACAGCCAAATCTTTAAATGCTCCTATGCAGTGACTCCATTTACCAGCTCAAAGCTGTCAATTAAAATGCTACACATCAGAGCCGTCAGCGCTTGAGAAAGCATGAGAAACACTCTTCCGATTAACCAACTCACTCTATCTTTAGAGACTTACCAGGGAGGAGAAAAAGAGCACCATCTTGCCTTCCACAGTCAAGTCTTAATCCCTGACTCTGCTTAAGGCCCCCACCCCCTTCTCGTCAGTTTTTTTATGACCTAATTCAGCACTGCTCTGTAGTGCACATTTATTAACTCCTGCATAAATAAACAATGCTCCTCCACAAGCTGTTGTCAGCCCAACTTAAAGCCTGCTTCTTATTTGCAGTAACATAATAACTCGTTGCAATCCACAACTGAAGACTGAAGTTGTTTTATAGTCTGTATGTTGTTACAGACATGCATGTTGGCTTATAGTAATTAGTATGTGCTGCCTGAAAATCCACTTTATTAGAGTATTCATCTAAACATGTTTTTATATATAATAAAATAATTAGTTGTATTAGTACTATAACAAATGCTGCTCAGTGCATTGTTAATGACTTTGAGTTGACTTTAACTGTGGTAAGAGCTATTTCTCTGACTAGGGCTGCAACAACTAATCCAATAAAACCAATGCAAATCGACATGAAGCTAGCTGACAGAGCAGAACAAGCTGTAGCATTTATTTTAAACCTACTAACAGTTATATTGATTATTTCTTAGATTTAATAATAATTGCCTTAATAAATGATGTATGACACATTTTGCAATGCATTGTAATTATATGTTTGCGTTTTCATTTTGGAATTGTGAATTCAAATACAGAAAGGGCACTGCCATTTTGCATATCACATTTCCAGTTGAATTTAACCAGCTTTATGCTCCCATAGTCATTGACTAGAGCATAGAGTTGTGTTTTAATTAATGTTCTTAATGACTGTAACCTCAGCTTTTCTTTCACTTGCTGTGTAGGGGAATTCAGGCCTGGGCTTCAGTATCGCCGGTGGCACAGATAACCCTCACATTGGTGAAGACCCCAGCATTTTCATCACTAAAGTCATTCCAGGGGGTGCCGCCGCTCAGGACGGGAGATTGCGGTAATGCTCCAGTTCTCATCTGTTTCCTGCTCTCTTCCTGTTGCTGTTCATACTCTAAATAGTTAAACAAAATGTAACTTTTTAAAACCCCACGTGGTCAGTGATATATAGAGCAGTTTTTGATTTGATTTAATGTTATCTAATGCCACTTGATTTAATGTTATGTTATCTAATGCAATGACATCCAGAAAACAGAGAGAGAGAGAGTATAAAGAGCCCTATCATCGGCTGCTTGCATTATTTGTAAATTGAAATGTTTGTGAAAGAGTTAATGAATGTATATCATAAAGGCTTTGAGACACTTACAGACCATGTGATGTATAATTGTATGACTTTAGTTTGTTTCAATAGACTTGATGACTTTTATAGTTTTTTAATTTTTCGTGCCCAGTAAGAGCTGTCACTGAGAAATTAATTGTAGCCTAGGTCAGTATTGTATTCTCGTGTGAAGGTGCTAAGATGCTGTGTTGAAGCCAATGTTGCTGTGGCTAGTCTGGATGCTCAAACCGAGCAATGTTTTGATAGCGTCACAGGCCACAATGAATGTGATTACATGCACATTTTTAAACCAATTATGCCAAATAAGCCGACAGCGTGCTGGTCATGTAACAGATTTCCTTTATCGGCAAAAGGTCATAAACAGCTTAAAGGGTTAAGTAAATTAAAGATGAATATGTAATATAGTGAATATATTTAGCATAATGCTTTTGTCTGGAGTTTTTTTTCTGTCTGAATGGCTTTTCTGAGGTAAATGAAATGCTACATGACTGTAAGGGAAACTAAGTCAATTTAGCTCAAAGGGAATTTATCTGTGAATTTTGACAGAATCACTGGTTTACGGCTGATCAACTTGAATCAGCCAGCGATTGAATGGCCGTAACGGCAGTTCTGCAACTGATATTAATATCAAAGTATAGTGAAAAACACAATTTATTAGCACGGTAACAAGATAGGCAGTTCAAGATATTATTGTAAGCACAAAACACAAGATACTTCTCTTTTCAATACGAACAAAACTTTATTCGACAAATCTAAGACATATAAAATAATCTAACACAAACACTAGGGGTGTAACAGTTCAGATTGCTCACGGTTCGGTTCAGTTCACAGTTTTAGGGTCACGGTTCGGTACGGTTTGGTTCAGTATGTGCTATGTTCAGGGAAAAAAGGACTATGGTCAAATAAAAATAAAGAAAATAATACCAAAAATTAAAACTAAATACAACAGCACAAATAAATACAATAGAGCAAATATACAAATAAAATAAACAGTGTTTTTTCAGGTGTTTTTCAGACACAGACATTTAAAAGTAAACAAATGTAAAATAACAGCGCATATTTCACTGTATAAATTAAAGATCAATCCTTGTTGAAGTTACAAAAGCTATTCAGTCAAGAGAAGTGAGTGATTTCCTTGTCTTTTGTTGTTTAACATTACAAACACAGACAGCAGGAATAGACTGCTGATCCTGTACACTGATACTGGAGGGCGGGGGTGGACTGCGGTACGTACCAAGAATACCCCGATATGTATCGTGGGTGGTGTATCATGTTTTTCCGGTTCAGTTTGAATATCGTTACAACCAGGGATTGAAATTAACTTTTTCACTCACCAGCCAATTTGGCTACTACATTTTGAAGTTACCGGCCATTCATAACTTCTACTAGCCAAAAAAAAAAACAGCTTGAGGCTGTCTACACTGGGCGTGACAAAGCGACCGTTGCAAATCATTTTGTCAGTACTAGGGGTGTGCGATATTGACAAAAATAATATCTCAATATTTTCTGGGATTTTATCGATAAAGATAATTAGACAATATTTTGCTGAGTGTGTTATTGTGCTGATATCTTAAAGGGGTCATA